TGTATTCAATTGAAATAATTATTATGTTCATGAATTACAATACCTATTACAATTTTCTAAAATTTATTTATAATATCATATTAAGATTATATAATTAAACTATTGAAGGTACTATTTCTAAAAAGCGACTTATATAGCGCCCCAAAATAAAAATTAAATGATCAAATTTTAAAAATATGTACTTAAGTAGTTGACTCTAGCAACAGTATACAATAACAAGATTGAATTAATTCAGATTTTTCTTTTTCTACGATAAAAGTCTGAAAATTTAAAACATGGAAATTGCATAATATAAATATATTTATATCATGATTTTGACCCAGTTGAGAAGTCTAAAACGGGAAACTAATTTTCGATCAAAAGTATTAATATTCATTATAATTTAATTTTCAACGCATATTTTAAAATGTAACAGATATTAAAATTTAAATCGGATGTGACTCTCTCTCATGTCGGTTATGATCAGAAGACTGACCAAACTATGCCGATTCAATGTTGACAACTGTAACGAATCACGTTCCATGAAGTATTAAAAATAGAAACACAATAAAATCAACTAAAATGAGTAAACAAAAAATTATCGTGTAAGACTTTTCTCTAATTCAATAAAATATTCTAAAACCCACAAAATTCATTAAAATTTTTCCAATAATTTATTTTAGAATTTGTTGTTTACGAATTTTTAATTATTTAAAATCAATATAAATTTGTTGTGGCGCTACATAAATTCTCTTAATCGATAATTTTTGTAAGATTAATTTATTTATATTTAAAATTTAAAAAACATATTCCAAACAAATAAATCTTTTATAAATTACATCACTGTGTAAGAGCCCTTGTTCTATTAATTTTTTAAAGTTTATATGTATGTACACAAATTACTCATTTATTTTAATATTATTTGAGTACGTACATTAAATACTTTGTATTTAAGGAGTTTATTTTTAATTTCGAACTTTCACCTTGATCTTGAGTTTAAATTTTTTTTTTCGTGTTTTCAATTTTTTCAAGTGGGTGTGATTTAAATATTTAAAATTAAATTTTGCCAAAGTTATTAATTGAGAAGATTTGATTAATTCTCCAAATTTTCATATCAATTTATTAAAAATAATTTTAAGCAAAAATAAAAGAAAAATATTCAAAATATTTTATTATTAATAAATTTATTCATAGCATAATAATCATTCGTACTATAAAATTTTACAATTTTCGCTTAAAATTACATACAACAAAAAAAAATTAATTAATGCCTTAACATTTGTTTATGACAATCAGTTAAATCAAAATTTTTACAAAATGATTAATTTGCATAATGCTTGTATGAGTTAAAAATTTAAATTTAAATTTGAAATTTTCAAATTATTATACAAAATATTAACGTCATATTAAATAAATGCAATATTTTAAGCTAAAAATTTTTATTAACTTTTATACCTCATTAAATTTTTTTTTTTCGTTTCAATTTTAGAAATTGCATTTTAAATATGCATTTGCCAATTTTTCTTTTTCTTTTTAAATAACAATTTGTTATGGCTTTTCTGAAGAAAAAAAAAACTAATTTGGTCAGCACATAACCGATTGCAATGTGTGTTGCCTAATTTAATCTCTGATGTTTCCCAAAAATTTATAAATTTCTACACCTCGAATTTAAATATTAAATATAAAAGACATTGTTTGATAATTCCTCTTTATATACACCTGGAAGAACGTCCAGTCCCTGAAATATATCCCAAAAGTTCATAGTGAAAATAAACCTACATATAAAATTTCATCTAAATCGGTTCAGCCGAACTTGAGAAACACTCGTACACACACAAACAGACAGACCGACAAACCGGCAGGCCGACGTCTCTCTAAAAATAATTTAATTACGCTTTCCAACCATACGTAGGATTGCGTTCCCACTAAAAACTCGACATTTGAAATTTGACGCCATCACATAACCTCCCTTATTGTATGAAATGCAGCCGGTAAAAAGTTGTAGCTATAGAAATGATTTTGTGAAAAATTATATCTTAACCATGTATTTATGTACATCAGTTCAAACATACACTCTTTATTATTTATTAAGAAAATATTGTAGGTGTATTTATGGTTGATTGTAAGAAAAAATTATTATAAGTAGCTAACCGAACTCTTTCTTGTTTTCGTTTTAACCTTTAGCATGCAAAATAAATGCAGTGATTAAAATTTAAAAATAATTTTTTTTTTCTCTTAGGATCATAACGAAATACCAATTTTAATTTGTACATTGGCATTTTTAGTTGTACTGATTTTTTAATTTAAATTTTATTAAAATCAAAATTGCGAAAAAAATACTCGTATATAATGTAAGTATAGAATGCATTATATAAAATTTCAATTAATTGATTATTTGTGACTGCAGATTACAAATAATAAAATTTCGTTTTGATATTCCATGTTTAATTAAAATCTAGGAGAAAAAAGGAAAGCTGCTTATAAATAATAATGAGTAGTAAATTAAATTTAAAGATTTGTAGTTTTATAAGTTATTATTTTTCAAGAAGTTAGAAGGAGTGTAACTTAAACCGAGTGTGTAGAATTCTAGTTAATATTTTAACTTGAAATTGAACTTTAATTTTTGAATTTTTGACAATGCACACTTACATGGACGTATGGGTACATCTATATAATTTTGAAATTACATTAAAAATATTTTCATATATATTTTCGAAAATATTGTTTATATACATTTTACATATAAAAACATCAGAATTTTATGTACAACGAAACTTTTAACACTACACGCTTAAACTAGATTTTTCGGCCTATATTCTCACATATAGATTGCACTCACTGGATATTTCATGTCATAAAATGGCGAGTTATTAGCAGAATTTATTTAAAAATATTTTAATATCAAAAGTAAATCATATAATCAAAATTTTTGGTACAAGCTAATTAGGTTTGAGTTGACCTACTACAATATATTGGGACCTATTCCTTTTAGCGAATTTTAAAATCACTTTTAAACGCAATTATCGAAAAGCCACAAAAAAGTGATTTCATCATAAGAACATAATAATTTAATTGTTGTGCAATGATAATAGGTAATTATTTTAACTTTTCTCTATAAAAAAAAATAAAATTTAATTTTAATTTTGAATACGTCTTCAATACGTCATACGTTGTTTTAGCGTATTAACAAGGTTATATGAATTTTTAGTTGCATAAAATCTACGCATATACGCTCATAATATTGAATAAGAAACCTTTGTGTAGGCCAAAATTCATTGCTTTTATGTCTTTTTTTTTTAATTTATTATTATAATTTTCATATAAAATTCTACGTTAATATAGATATTAAACATATACACAGGTATATAAATTATGTCAAATTTTAATAGAAAAATATAACAAGATGTCCAATGTACAATTATTTTTAATGTTAATAAGAATCGAAAATTTGATAAAAGCCTGTCTTTAAACGAAAGAAATAATTAATGGTAAATTGATTTTTAAAAAGTTCAATTTGATTTTGGTTGCATTTTTAAAAAAAATTGCAATTTTAAAATAATTAATCAAAATTTTAAAATAAAAAAATATAACAAACAGATATGATACAAGTAACATTCTCGTGATATTTAAGGAAAGGTTTCGATCTGCTAACGTTATTTAATTTAAAGACCACCAATTATATGGATTTCCACAAGTCGAACAGGCCCAAGAAATATTACGATATTTTTTATTGTATTGTTTATTATAATTATGCAATATAGTTATATAATTACAATTATATGCTATTGTTTATTTAATTTGTGTATATGAATTTTAAGTCTTTTACATGTATCTTATTTTTTTTACAAACTTTTGTAATAAAGTTGTGCATTTTCAAAAATCCGTGCTCCAATTTGTTTTTTAATTTTAAATTATTGTACAAATTTAATTTAATAACAAGATACGATGGCATACCCTGTATTATAAATTTTTGGCTTCTTTGAAACCGTTTATTGAAAACAGTTGCCGTAATATTAATAGACAGACAATTTGAATTATAAATTTAATAGTACAATTTTGAATTTTGAAGAGAGAAAATATGTTCGCCGAAAATTATTTGATATTAAAAAAAAAACAAAAAGAACCGGCTTTTTGTATATAAGACAAGAATAAAATAAATAAAAGAATAACAAAAATAAGATTAGAAAACAAACTAACATGTATTATTCACAATTAAAAATACAAAAAGGAAAAATATTCACAATATGAAAAGGAAATTCTAGTGGTATGACATCAAAAATTATTGGTCACACTATAATTATTTAAACTTATTTTATTAGATAAGAGTTTAGAGTCTAGATGTCCGATAAATGCCAACATATTGTTCTTATTTCTTTTTTATTATAAATTATTATAAAATAGAACAGTTATAAGAATTTTATTTATTATTTTTGTGTATGCGGATATATCTTAATGTGTGTAATATTGTTAATATTATTACTGGACATACAGTGTACATTATATTATGTGAATATATTATGATAAGTAAATTACAAAAGCATAAAAAAAACAATGGAAACAAAGGAACAACATAAAATTTTTAACATAAAATTTGGCCGCGAATTTATAAACATAAATAAATTTTAGCTCAAGGCAAAAATAGAATATATTATATCGTGTATTTATTGGCGTCCAGCCCAATCTTTATGTTAATCTGCTTAAAAATTCATAAAATAATATCGAGAAAAAAAATAAACAATTTTATAATAATCATATTTTGTGTATACACAGTGTTTTTATTTAAAAAAAATGGAATTTTATTATTTTTAACAGGAATATGAATATTTTACTTATTTGCATTAAAAATTAAAAAAATATTTTTTATGGAATCAATTTTCATTCAATAAAAATATTTGTTTCTCTTTTTTGTTTTTTAGTAAGAATTAATCAAAACAATAAAATTCTTAAAATTACTTTATATAATATTGTTAAAATTTTTGAATATTAAAAAGTTAAAAGTGAAAATTTATTATATACATACCTACATACATAAATACAATTTTCATCTTAAATTGAAATGTCAACTTTATTAATGGATACACCTAGCTTGTATCTTGAAAATAATAAAGAACAATTAAATAATAAATCTAATATAAAAAATAAAATTGATAATAATAAAAATTACAATAGTAAAAATCCGATCAAAAATATTAATAACAACGATAATAATAATAATAACAATAATAATTACAAAAGTGATAATAATATTAATTATAAACGAAGTAATAGCAGTAATATATATAATGACGAATATAGTAATGACAGTAATATTGATTTTATTGAAAATAATGATAATAGCAATGAAAACGATCAACTAGATAATCAATATATTAATTTAAAATTAAAGAAACCAAAAAAATGGAGTTGGGAATTATCAACTTCGAAATCTTCACCAAATATCGCTTTTCCTAGAATATTTCTTTATGATCATAAAGGAAATTTATTAGCTGAAGCTGATGAAGCTGATCAAATTTATGGAACAAAAATACAAACTTCATCAATAAATAATAATAATAATAATGAAGTAAAACAGAAATTAAGAAAAAATCAACGTAAACAACAAAATATTCAATCAACTTCATCATCATTGACTGCATCTGAATCTTTAACAGATGAAAAGAAAATAAAAAATAGTAATTTGAAACGAATTCCATCAACATCATCTAGTAAGAGTAGTAGTAGAAAAAAAGAATCACTATCATCAAGCATTTTAGAATTAGATGAAAATTTAAATGCTTTCGTTGATTACTTAGAAAATGAAGGTGAGTAACTTTCATTTACTTATTCAATTATTCTTTTGTAGATTTGAAATTGTTTAATATAAGAATATTGTTAAATTTTAATTTCACTGTATTATTGATTTCGCTATAATATTCATAATCATATCTAGATATTTTAAGATCAAAATTTTTGAACATTAAATTTAACTGCTACCAATATTAGTTAGTGATTTAAAGGTTTGCTGTTCCCTAAAAGTTTAATGACAAAATCTCTTATTATGCCAGTTATTCGAGTAACTTTAAATTTTTTATTTTAATTGAAACGAATTTTAACGAATTTATTCCATATAATGCAATAAGAAATTAAAAAAATGCCAAAAATATACAAACATACATACTTATATAGTTATTAAATTTTCATAGTTTACTCATGTCATTGTCATTCAAAATGTTGTTGTGACGGGAAACTATTTTACCGAATAGTAATATTTACATAAAATACAGGCGACATGCCAATCAAAACACGAGCTTTTAACATGTTGTCGCTGCATATTTACTGGGTTTCATGGTCAATTTTTTTTTGTAGCTGACAATAATTGATGATAAATTTTTTGTTTTATTTTTTCAAAATTTTATTTTCAAACAATAAACAAAAAAAAAAACATTTCTGCAATGTACATGATCAACAATAGAAATGTATATGTACATTTAAAATGTATGTACTACGAACATATGTACATGTATAAATAGAAATAAGTATAATGTAAACAAAGTTGTTTAAAAATTGGCAACCGAATTTCTTTAAAACATTAAAATTTATTATGACAAAAGTTTAAAATTGTATTGAACTTAAAATAATTATACCACGACTTTAATAAAAAAGAAAATGTCCGTTATACATTCATACGTATGCATAAATAATTTTGTTATACGTATATTTAATAAACATTTAAAAAACATTTAATACATTAAAATGAGTTCATTTGTATAATATTATGACATATTTTGTTAGTAAGTCTGCCATTTTGCATATTCTTGGTGGCTATTCCTACGATTTCGAGATTTTAGAATAAAAATTTAAACGATCAAAACAATTTAATCCAATAGAATAGTTCACAACGACTTTACTCTTAATTTAATCATCCAATAGAAAAGTTCACAACCACATTACACTTTCTTTCTTAATGTAATTTCGCAGTTATCAAGAGTACGAGTATATAAATAGTTTCTTTGGAAAAAAATTGTTAAACATTTTGTGTTACTGCATCCACACATTTTAAATGACGTTGTTGTTTACTAAGTGTAATCATATACAATATTTTTGAAAATTCAGAATAATTTCTACTTTAATAACTTTAATGAACATTCGAAATTTAAACCAACAGATTATTTCTGAAATTTTTAAAAATTTATAATGATCTCAAATAAAATATAAAAGTCATGAATGAAAATTATAAATGACAATATTTTACCTCGCTTTAAATGAAAATATAATAGCCCGCCTTTAAGTATATAAAAACCAAATTTTTATTAGCACAACCTGTTATTTACCATTTTGCTTTCATATTTCTTCTGGAAACAAGATTAAAATTTACGTTTTCTTGAATATTTCGTTCAAAATAAGATTTTTTTTCTGTATCATAAGGATAAATTAGAAATTATTTCTTAGTTCTGACAATATAATTTTTCTTTTTACAAAAAATTGAAATAAAAATTTTTTTTATTTTTATTTTTTTTAAGGTATAAATTATGAATTAAACCACCATCCTAGTTCACCTTACAACGGAATTAAACATAGTAATAGCATTTCAAGCATTAATCAATTTGGTAAAACAAAAACAAATATTTCAAATTTATCATCACTATCAGCATCTCCATCTTCATCTATTTTAAGACGAAGAAGTTCTATTTCAGTGCCATATCATTATGAAGAAGAGGATAATACTACTTACCCTAATAGATTTTGTGTGCCATCAATTTCTACTGTTAATGATAATGAGAAAAGTGATGACACAACTGATGTTACTCTCGATGAATGTACTACAAAAAGAGTTCTTTCTAATAAAATGCAAACGAAACGAAAAAATTCAATACGTTCTGTTGGAAATGCCCATGATGATAATACTGATTCAGATGAAACTGATGAAGATGTTGAAAATGTTAATAAAATGAGCAAAAGTGGAAATGAAACAAGTGAATCTGAGGCGCCAATTTGGATACAAAGTGCAAAAGGATTAGTAAAACGGGATATGAATGCAAAAGAATTTGATCATATCAGACCAAAAACGTATAGAAAATCAAAATCAGTCAATTTGAATTATTTGATTGATCAAGTTGATGATGACGAATCTGAAAATGAGATTAAAAATTTTAATATCAGAACTGATGTGAAAAAGGGTAATACAGTTAATACTAGAAAAAGTGGTTTATTACGTAAAACTTCAGATAGGTATTTAACACCACAAAAAGAAGTTCGTTTTGATTTACAAAAAAGTAAAAGTGCTACTGAAATAATACCATTTGATTCAAGTAAAAGTACTGTCAGCGAAGGAACTCATGATTCATCAACAAAAAAAAAATCACGTCGAAATAATAGTAATGAACCACCTTCAAAATTTTCAAAATCAATTTTAGAAAGAATGAGTGCATACAAAATGGGATCATCGACAGAAAGTCAAGATATAAAAATAACAACGGTTAATCATGGACCAAGATATTTTCTAAGATCAAGTCGTGCCGGAACTTTAGTTGTATGTGAAGATGTTTCTTATAATCGTCGCCGACGTACAAGATCTGCCCAGAGAATACCAGAAAGAAATGAAATAAAAATGTCACCAATAAATGATTTTAAAAAAGAACTTGGAAACACTAACAATAGCAATAATAAACGTAAAGATGAAAAATTTTATGACGAAGCTATAAATAAATTAGATAATTTAATATCAAAAGTCACATTACGGCAAAAGGATAAAGGTAGTATTGCAAAACAAGTAAAATTACGTAATTCAAATCCAATTCTATTAGATGGAAAAGAAAAATGTAGTGGTAAAAGTGTTGAAAATATTTCTAATGTTACTCAATTACACACTCCTGATCGAAAGAAAACTGAATCAGGAATGAAACATGACAAGAATATAAGAAGGTGTATTAGCGCTGGCAATATTTATTTATCTTCATCCGATGATGAAAATTTAAAACCACCCAAAAAGGAGATAAAATTGCGAAGAAGAAAGAAAACTCCCATGAAATATCAAAAAGGTAAGTAAAAATCATGAAAACTTAAAAAAATAAATAAAAAAGAAAAATCTAAAGTGAATTTTTTTTTGCAATTTTTGATAACATTTTTTTTTCTGTGCATTTTATACAAAAAGCTTTATTTTTTTATATATAGTGAATAATAACATTTATCAAAATATACGCGCTTAAAAATTGAAGAAATGATAAAGTAAAATATGTGAGCTCTATAAGGATAAAATGCATTTTTGTGATCTTATATAACAAGAAGCAAATTAAATTGGGAATTTACTAAAAAAAAATTCAAGTTTATTGTTAGCGAAAATATTTTATATACTTACATATTTATAGGGGTTTGAAAAATATTGAACTATAAATATTTTGATTCTGACAGAAATAGAACGACATTATCCTTTTTATAATATTTTTTATCTTCGGGTTAGAAAATAATTTTATAAAAAATGAATATTTTTAAAAAATTTAATTGTGTTTCTAAAATTAAATATTCGTATAGTTCCGTTAATGCTTTTCAATTCTCGTTTATTTTGTTATGAATTTGTTGATTTTAAATTAAATAATTTAATTTAAAATTATTATTTATTATGAGACGAAGCATCGGAAAATATAAGCAGAGAAGAAGAAATTCATAAAACGAAAAGAACTCGAACTGAATTTTAATTTCAAATCAAATGTAATTAGATAGCTTCATACTTTGTGGGGACAATATGATATTTCTGCGTGTTAGTAAATCTATTCAATTTAATTATAGTAATAAGATTGAAATTTATATTTATTAATTGTTAATATATACATATACAAATATATCGGCAAAGATTCTTTTGAATTTTAGTAAAAACTGAGTACTTTTGATAATTGAGTTTTTTTCTAGTAGCTTATTAATTTTTAATAAATTTGATAAGTAGTCTTCAATATTTTGAGAACAAAAACTATAAGATTTTAAAAAATTCAGCGTAAATTCGTTGTTTTTACTACTGCAAGTAAATTGACGCGATAAGAACTATTATTGAGTAAGCATTGTGTTCAAAGAATAAGCAAAACCGTTTACTTATTTAATGAATTTAGAAATATTAGAAAACTCTCTTATATTTTAGTTCTAGCAACTGTTGGTTTGATTTTAATTATATTATTTGTTTATATGGTCATAATTTTAATAAAATTTACCGCAAAAAATGCCAAGTAATTTAATTATTCTAAAAAGATTACTTTTGTAATAATACTTTTACTGCAATAATTTGGGATTAATAAAAAATTTTATTCCGGAATATTTGTTTAAATGTGTTCCTTTTAGCAAGGCTATAAATCATTTAAACAGTTACGATTTAAATGAAAAGTTATCCCTTACTTTCATGTTAGAAAGCTAATTAAAAGTTTTTTAATTTCAGTTTAGTTTACATGTAATTTGTCTTTTGAAAATTTCAGTACTTCATGCTTATTTTAAGTTTATTAAAATTTCTTTTGATTATTTTTAAAAATTTATTAACGCATTAAAAATTTCTACTACTCGTATAAAGGTATACTTTTAAAGGAAGTCATCAAATTTTTTAGTGTGAAACATATTTTTTGTGAACTAAAGGGAATTCCTTCATTTTAATTCTTATCCTTTTTCTATTATATCAAATTTTTTCTTATATAATTTTAAAGCTATATAAACATGAATAAATGTGAAATAGTTTTTATGCTACATAAAATAATATTAAAAGTCACCTGAAATGTGTTTCCAAAAAAACAAACTAAATATAATTTTTTTTTATTTATTTGAATATAATTTTTATGTCGCAACTATTTTAAGAAAAATTATATTTTTAAAAGACTTCATTTTTTATTATTCTTATTATAGTGCTTAGAAGATTTGACGGTAATCCTTTTCGCTACAGAAAAAAGATATATATATATTAGTTTCAGTATTTAGTTTTATTTATGAAATATATAAAAATCTAATAATAAAATTTTAAGGATTTTTTCTATTATCATCGCATCGTTTCTATTATGAATAGTGAATAGTTTTACAGTGTCATAAAATTCTCATTAATTTTCTTATATAGTGTGTTATATATGTGTATACTATAATATATTACATTATTTAAATTTAAAAATATAATATTCTTGTGCATACATATAAGTATAAATGTATATTTATATATATTATTTTATGTAGTAAAAGGTACGGATAGATTATAAATAATATCCGTATTCTTATATTAAGTATTTCTAAAAGTCATTAAACAATATTCATTTCTAATTATTTAATGATAAATATTTGATATTGGATTATATTGAGAGTAATATGAGTTAATTTTCATGTATTGCTCATTATACCAATACGAACGTATGTTTGAAGGGTATATTAAATTTGGATAACCGTTTGAAACGCTAAGATATAATGTCGTGGAATATAGACTCAAGTGTATGTTTTTCATCAGCGTTGAGTTCTGAATCGATTTAACCATGTCTGTCCGCCCTTCTATTATTCACAACGATAACTCAAAAACTTATTGCAAAAAAAATTCATCAAATTTGCACAAATGATTAAAAGCCGCTGAAATCGCTCCTTTCGATAGTTGTATACTACTTGAAAAGTTATTTGGTTATATTTTGAAAACATTTCAACTTACAGTACCGAAATTTTGCAAAAACAAATTTGGTAAAATATCAGCTATATTATTGTTAAAAGATATTGAGATCTCATGAGCGAATGTGATACCTGCCACACAACTCCAAAAATTATTTGGCCATATATCAGAAATTATTCAGCGCATAGTTCTAAAAATATGCACCAGTAAATATGTTGTTGGGGCTGTTATGTTTGATAAAAGCCGTTAAAATTTCTCGAGTGCAGCTACCACAAGCATAAAATCATAAATAATTAAATCTAACCTAATAACTTGTTTGTTCACAGCTCAGCAACTATTTAAGTTACAAAACTGAAATAGTAAACAAACAAATTTGGTGATATGTAATTTTCAGTAAAACTCTTTTAGATGATATTGGTTTATATGGGAACTACCATAAAACTAGACATATAAAAAGCAAGAGGTTATATGAAACTGTATGTCAATTATTTCCGACATTTAAAATCCTTTGTTCGTATGGGTATCACAGAACTGACATGGTCAACTATATCTGTTCTCGTTTTTATTTGAAATTACTGCTTTAATTTTTTTAAATTTTTACATAATGCTCAATCATATTATTATTAAGATTTGGGAAGAGTTTTGAAAGGAATGCATTGGATTTTGTATTTCAATTTAAGCTCGCTTAATTGCCTGCTATTAGCTTCTCATGTATTATTATGTAGGTATATGTTAAAATCTCCAATAGAGAAAAATTTCATTATTTATTTAAAATTAATCAATAATCTCAGAATCTTAATGTAAAAATTGATTTTATTTCGTTTAAGATTTTTAAAATATAGTATCTATTCTAATTTTCAAACATATGAATATTTTAGTTTCGATTTTCTATTAAATATAATAGACCGCATTTATCAATATTTAAATATATTTGAATAAATTTAAAATGAATATAGTACTAATATTACAGTTTTTTTTATTAGACTTCTTATTTTTCTCCATACTATACATGAATGAGCTTTAAAATAGACAATGGAGTTAAAAATTTCCGTATCACGTTTTTATCAATTTTATCATTGTCCTGTTTGTTATTTATTAGTATAAAGTTAATATAGGGGACAAAATAAATTATTCCTTTATTTTTATCAATATTTTATTTTTATAAAAATTTAAATAGTAAAGGAAAGATTTCTATATACATACATACATTAACATTTTGTAGACGCTTATGTGTAAACAAGAAATTGACTGCGATCAACATTGAAAAGAAATCTGAATTTTGTAAATATATTTTATGTTTGTGTGTATTCATATGGTTTTATGTATGTATAGGTATAAAATATATTTTTTTTACAAATAAGCAACCCTGAGAAAAAAATCAAAATGTGACAAAATTTATAAATTGCATCACGTATTGTGGTTTCTTTTTAGTTGGACGCATTTGATTTTATATATTATGTACGTATGTATATAAGGAATATAATACCGTTGTTGATGCATAAACCTATATAAATAATATATGTATGTATAATGTAAAAATTCCAATGCCTTCGGTTGTATCCGTATAAGTTCATTTTATAGTTACGTGAATGTCACAATAACTTGTTATATATTATACGAGTAGAAATATGAATAGGAGAATTTCCTTTTAGTTTATCAGGATAGTATAAATTTTGTGTAAAGAATACAATTACAATAAAAAAATCAATTTTTCAACAATTGTTAAAGTTAATTTTTGGTTCAAAAAGTCTTTGGAATTTTTACCAAAATAAAAAATACGATATAAGAAATTATTATAAAATATTTTCTTTATAGATTTTTAAAATAGCTATTTTGAAACGATTATTAAACTATAATTTGGTTCAATTTATGAAATATTATAATATATTGTATGTATATTAAATGTCATATCCACAGTTTGTACTGTTTAAAAATTATTTTTACATTATTTAAAGAATTCTGTTACTTTGTTGGAATCTCGTTTTTTACTTAAGCAAATTTGCAATACGTATAACTTTAGACATTAAAATTAATAATTATTCAAAAATATTTTCATCTTGTACCTTATTTTGCATTTTTATTATTACGTTGCGTGCACACAAAGCAATTTTGCGTTATTATTATTAATGACACACTATGCAGCTTAATAGTATAATTTCTATTATATTTGTTTTGCTTTTTTATCCATTTAAGGGTTTAAAGTTGTTACTTTTTACCTTGTTTTTATTTTGTGTATTTTTAGGGTTGCCAATAGTAATTCATTCTTTAATCTTGGAAAGCAAAGAACCCTTGAATCAATAATATCTTTTTAATAAAATATATTATGAGTAAAAAGTTTTGTACCTGCTATTTTGTTTTTTGTCTTATATTTGGTAGTGAGTGTTCTACCAGAGGTCTAAAAAGATTTTTTAAATATAACGTTTTAAACAATTG